AGGTTGATGGGTAGTTATAAGTGGGGCTATAAGTCCCCTAATCTGGGTTATCAGTATAGTTACCCTACTCATAACCCCACTGGCCTCCATCTCCTCCTGCACACTGCGAAACGCAGAGGTCAAGGCCGCCGCGACTTGCCCGCACTTCAGGGCATCCGAGCAGGGCGCCTCGAATTAGGGTTTAGGGTTTAGGGTTTAGGGTTTGAAAAACCCGTCAAGCGGTTGGGGTTCAGAGCATTTTGGGTTGAGAGTTCAGGGTAGTCTGTGATGTATCAGAGCATTTTGGGCCTTTTGGGTTTGGGGTTCAGGGTATGTTGGGTTGAGAGTGTTGTCTGCAAGCTGGGTTTGAGGTGTAGGGTTGAGGGCTCAGGACTGCAAGGTCGGGCCAAAAGCATCTCTTCAAAGTAGGGGCCTTAATAATCAGAATAGGGTCTTGGGGTAAATTGTACTATCACTATCACTATCACTATAATCAGGAACCTCCAAAATAGTATTGGTAATTGTTTAGGCCCCTACGTACACGCATGTGCAGTTGGATGCGCAGGTGTTTCTGCAAAATCATACGCATGTGCCTTTGTCCACAAACACCCAAAACCGCATGCACTGCACGTTTGCGCTAGAAACTGACGGTCTTCTCTTCCTCTTGCCCTGCCCCTTTCTTCTTGAACCAACGGAGTAAAGACGAGAAAAGTTAAGGACACGCCCGCCCAGACAGCAGAAGCTGCAAACTCGTCCTGTCCCGATGAACTGCACGACCAAGATTGGACGAGCAACTTTGGACGTCTCTTAGGGGTTCTAATTAAGTTAATTTAGGGGCTCTGTAAGTGTTCTATCAGGGATTTGCACGCGGCCTGCTGCAGGAAATACGGCATCGTCTGTGCAGCCCGCAGGGCAGGCCAGTGGCCATTGAGGCCATGTCCATCAAAGACACAAAGTGCTTTCCAGCCGCAGGACCTCAGAGATATTCCAGTGGGTGAGGGCTAGCAGCTTCCAAATGTGCATCGTTTGGGGCTTTGTTGAAGCTATCCGACAATGCTCTCCGTATTGTGAGAGGATGTGTACAGTTCTGCGACAAGAAATTGGTCCAAGAAACAGCTGGGCCACTGCGAAGTTGTCCTGCAAAGTGACAAGGCGATCTCCCATCCATTGCGAGGCATTGCTGTGGATCAAGTGTAGCACCAGCTTACGAAAAAGCTCCTTTGTCTGCGAATGTGCGGACCTGGGGTGGAAAACCTTCCAATCTCCGACCCAAATCACCCGGGGGTTCCTGGCCGACGGTGGTGTCACTCGGCGACTTGCAGCCTTTGCAGCTGGCGACGGCGATGCCCCAGGTCTTGGCCAAGGTGCTCTCGTTGCAGACACCCTCCTCGAGTTTGGGCTTCTGATGTTTTTTTTTGTTTTTCACCTCTTTTCCACCTGCCTGAGTTAGTTAGGTCGAATGCCACATGTGGCGGAGGTAGTTGCTTGCTGCATCACAGTAGGCAAATCCCAACCTCTACAACCTGCGAGCCTATCACTCAACCTGAACAGGGTTTAGGGGTTTGGGGGATTAGGTTTCAGGGTTATTCTGAACCCTAAACCCTAAACCCTAGACCCTAAACCCTAAACCCTAAACCCTATTCTGGAAGGGTCCCTTGCAGGTTTTGGCGCAACATCAAGGCAGGAAGGCCTCCGAAGCACAATCCCAAACTCGCTCCAGCTCCGTCAACCTCCTTCTAAACATATGGGTAGTTGTCTAAAACTAGGGTCCCTTTTAACCTCCTTATTATAAGGGTGCCGTACTATACTGGGGACTTAAAAAGGGACGACCCTAATTTAGAGAACTACCCATATCAGTATCTTCCTCTAGAAATACCAGTCTACATGTGTATGTATACTGTATATATTTAAATGTACATGTACGAAAAGATCATATAAGCACATACAGTAGTTCTCCAAAGGGATCTTCCACAAAAGCCCCCCAAAACATAGTATAGGTAATTATTTAGGCCCCACATTACTATTACTATAACTACAATCAGGACCCCTTCTTTTCGCCTGATGAAGGCTGCCGCCATCTTCGGGGAGAAAACTCCAGGCTCGCTCGGTGTAGGGATCCTCGTAGGCGCTGAAGATCCTGGGGTGATCTGCGCTTCAGGCTTCGGGAATCCGGGAATCCGGGTTTAGGGTTTGTGGCTTTGGGGCTTCGGCTTTAGGGTTCATTGGCTTGAGAGGGTGCTCGAGACCCTGAACGCATGCGAAGCCACTGCTGCGAGTAAGAAGGTTCGGGTTCAGGGAAGTCGTTCCAGATGCTAGGACAGTGATGCCTGTGTCAGGGTCGTGAACACACTGGGCTCAGGCCTCAGAGCCTGTGGCTCCAAGAGGGTTGTCGGACGTACTTCAGACTGCTTTCAGCCATTTTGTGAAGAGACTCATGAAGATGAAATCGGGCCCCACGCGGGCAGTCACCAAGTCAGGATACCAATATCCGAGTATGCCGTATATACAGAGGCTAGACAGTCTAAGAAAGAGAGCCCTTCAGCTGCCGGAAGGTCTGAACCTTTTGCTGGCTGCTGCAGAATCGCCAGCCGTCTGTCGGGGGCTGCCCACGGACGGCAAAGGAGCCCTGCAGTCTGTGGGATGCTGCATACATGCATAAATACCCAGATACATGCATATATACATGCACATGTACAGACAGACAGACAGACAGACAGACAGACAGACAGACAGACAGACAGACAGACAGACAGACAGACAGACAGACAGACAGACAGACAGACAGACAGACAGACAGACAGTACCTACCTGCCTGCCTGCCCACCTACCTACCTAACCTACCTGCCTACCTACCCTCCGACCTGCTACCTACTCCCGCCTACCCCCAACCTCCCCACCTGCCTACCCACCTGGCTCCCTCCGACCTGCTTACCTGCCTACATACATACACGCATAAACACACATATAGACAGAAGCACAGACAGCGGACAGAATATGCATAAACAGTTAATAACTTGCTTGCTCACTGACTTCGTCGTCGTCGTGGTCGTCGTCGTCGTCGTAGTAGTAGGTAGTAGGTAGTAGGTAGCAGGTAGGAGGCAGGAGGCAGGAGGCAGGAGGTAGGAGGTAGGAGGTAGGAGGTAGGAGGTAGTAGGTGGTAGGCAGTAGGTAGTAGGTAGTAGGTGGTAGGTAGTAGGTAGTAG